GGATACGTGAGCTTATGGATATAGGTATAGTACATAACGTGCAATGGTGTGATACTAGGGATATGACCGCAGATGGGCATACAAAGGGAAGCATCGATCGGGAGCTGCTTCTGGAAGTGATGTCAGGCACTCAGTCATTTAAGTATGACGTGAAGCAATTTGTTCCTTTTCGGGGTCCCGAGGACAGAGACAAACCCAAGTCTAATCAATTTTAGTCTGTCCTTGTTGCCCTCGCGGTCCAGTTTGCCAGCACGGGCGCCTATTATAAAGGCGCCCCTTTAGTTGCTCGGAAACGAGCCTCATATTTCACGCCTGGCAACGAGCCGGCTTCATACAACTCAGGCTCTTTGCCTTAATACACATTTGTTTGGTGAGGTATGGCCTAATTTTGGCCTACCTCTAACTAGGCCGATAGCCCTTCATTATTTGAAGGGGCTGTCCTGTATTTGCGTGAAATACTCTGCGAGGAAACTCGCCTTACATTCTGGCGTTTGGCCAGTTTGTACGCACTGTTTTCATTTCTTTGCAAACAGTCGTGCGCGCGAATTTTGCGTGCGACTATGCTCTCCGTCTCCTCCCCTCCCGACTTTAAGGGTAGCTCTTTGGGAGATGTTACAGTATCGGGAGCATAGCTCGCGCGCCGCTGCCTTGGGCTCAAGGCACGCGCGCCCTATTTGCCCGGACACCGCGAGTGTTCGCTATGTGCTGGAAAGATCATTACATCGATCTTATCCTATCTTATCCGCCCACCCCTCATACTGTACCTTCACAGCTACAGCAGAGCGATGGACGCTATTTGCCATCCGATGTCCACGGTCAGCGCCTTGGAATCGGATGCTATATGACAGGCTATATGCCCTATTTGAGTTACCAAGCTCACTTTCGACTAGGGCCTCTTGGGGGCCTCTTGGGGACCTCTTGGTAGTCTCTTGGGGCTCCTTAGCGGCGTCTTGGGGGCCCCCAGGGCCTCTTGGGGGTTCTTGTGGGCCTCTTGGGGCGGGAGGGGGGGTAGTCGATTGCGGCTCCCCCCTTGATGGCCACGATTCTCGTGAGGGGTGTCGAAGAATTGCCTGGTCTGGGGTCTCCTCCCGGGACTTGCCCGGGGTACTTTTCGCCCAGGGACCCCCAGGGACCGCCCCGCGCGCGCGAACTAGAAATATTGTTAAGCAGTTACCAGAGATCTTAGCACGCTTTTGGCCCGTTGGGCTGGCGAATTCGTTTTTTTGGTTTTGAGTATTTTTTGTATATTTCTTCGCACATCCGCCTATAGGGGGAACTGCCCGACCTGATGCTAAAGTTGCCCCTGGCCTAAGGTGCCCCGAGTTTTTTGCGAAGTCTTGGAGCCCCTGGGGCCCTCCGGGCCTCGTGAGGGGTGCTCTGGAGGCCGTGGGGGCCTCCTTGGAAATCCTAGGGGCATCTTGGGCCAGGGGCAGTTCTAGCAACACCCGGCCCAAATGCGATCCCCCCCCCCGCCCAAGCCCAGCGCATGACAGCCCGCTCTCCTGTCCCCCCCCCCACGCGACCCTGGCCCCCCCACGCTTGTCGAATCACTTAGAGCAGCTTGAAAGTTGAACCTCGCGGCAAGAGTCGGAAGTCAAGGGCCTTCCAGGTAGCAGTTCTAGATTTCCGTCTCTTGCAACTCTCCGACGGCCGCACGTCGGGAATGCGGCTCTTTGTCGAAAGGCGCTCTCGCCTCATAATTCCTTCAGTTTTTCGCTCTCAGGAACACCTATACCGAGCCGTAGCAGCTTCACGGACTGACGTCCGTTCTCAGTCGTGTCCGAGGCTCGCCGTGGCCAGAAAAGCCGCTTCGTTCTTTTGTCATCGCCCCTTATGGTAGCACTGTGGCTGTATTGCAGAATCGTTGATGCATCCCGGGCTTACTCTGATGCCTCCTCGCCCCTGCGGGCCATGCACGTCGTTCCTCCTCCCTCCCCCTCCTCCCTCCCCTGTCCGCTGTGCTCTCTTTATTTTCTTTCAGCACCTCGGGAGCCTTGTTATCTGTTTTTTTCTTTCGGTGTGTGCACGGTAGCAGAAGGTATGTACGAGCGCGGATTATTTCCATGCCGACGTTGAGCGAGCGAGCCTGATTCCGCCTTCTCTCCCCCGGATCTTTTGTCCCCTCCGCATCCTCGCCGTTTCCTCTCTGCGCGGCCTTCGGCGGATCGACTCCCCAGTTAGACTTGCCTGAGGGGTTCTTCGCTGGTTTTGTGAAGGAGCGCTGCCTGGCCGCAGCTGTCAGGCTGGTCCCTCGTGACTTGGGTGCCGGTTCCTGGTGTAGGTGTTGCTTGTGCTATGAATTTCTACGCTATGTTCTGATGCTAAGGCTGCTGTGGAAGTGTGTGCTGACACGCACTGTTTTTGTATGCATCGCAAGCGCTGCTACGTTGAGCTGCGAAACCCAATACAAAGCTGCGGGACATGATTCAATACTGTGCATCGCTATGCAATGGTAGCAGTGATTTGCGTCTGTTCTGCGCCATGGTACGCTATGCGATGCAGTGCTGCGCATTCGTATGTTTTGACGCATTCGCTATAGTGCTATCTTACACAGAGCTATGCACTGGCATACCATGTGATGTTATGCAATGCTGTACAACGTTGTCGTGCCATGGTGTGTTTTACGGTGCCACGTTCTGTAATATGTTGATAGCCTGTGACCTGCTTTGTTTGCAGTTCAGTTCGTTGCGTCAATTTGTATGTCTACAAAATCACACCCTTGCATGTCTACAATCCTACACCCTGGCGGCAAAAACATGAGATACGTAAAAAGAGAGTCCAGACACATGTGCACGTGCGGGAGACTGCATGAGAAACCGGACGGAAGAGAAAACCCGGAGCCCATACCGAAGACCTTACCAGGGACCATACGGGAGACCAGACGGGAGGCCATGCGGGAAACCATACGCGATACCATACGGACGATGACGCGGGAGACCATCTCGGAGACCACACGGTAGACCATGAGGCCCGACTCCGGACAGGGAGGGGTTCACAATTGGCATGAGAAGGCGTGAATGGGATTCTTCGAGATAAGGTGTGTGGGAGAACACGTACGTCCCTGGTTGGTGCCGCGCGTGGTCCATTTGTAAGGCCGTGGCCCTCCTGAGCTCTGGACCCCTTGCCCACGGCTGGCTTCTGGTTCTAATCCAGACTCGTGTTCCGATGGCCCAGGGGCCCAGCCGGGCTTCGAGGCGCCCAGAAGGGTGGAAGCTCGCGTCAATCATGCCCCGCCAGGCCAATCTGAGTCCTCCGAACCCGAGTCTTGCGTGTCTCCGACAAATTGGACGGGGGGTCGGCGGTTGCATGAATGGGAGTCTAAGAGCCTCCTGGGTTCCCGAAGGTGCACGAGGCGTGCAACGCCCCCCCCCCCCCCCGCCTCCCGCCCCTCAGCTCCCACCCCACCACCCCGCACACCCATTAGGCAACGCCCCGCGCGCGGGGCCCCCGTGCCGTGCTTCGAAGGGCCAGGCAGCCCCCTTGCCCTCGTCCTTATATTTCAGAGGACGCTTTTTGTTTGTTTGTTAGAGCCTGGCGCTTTTTCCTCGATTTCGGCCTCTAGGGCCCGTTGTCGTGCCCCAGGGCAATCGAAAGATCTGGAGTGAAAAGCTCTCCCTGCTGGGAAGTGGTCAGGACTTCGGCGGCCGCGGATCGAAACATTCAGATCGGCAGATGTCAGGGACGCTCGGTCGTCTCCAGCCTCACCCCCCACTCCGACCACCTCGCTCATCCCAGGCCGTTACGGCCTCTTCGGACGAGCTTGTTTTCGCGAGTTTTCTCGCTCCTGGCGGTATCTGTGCGACCCTGAGGAGTGCCGCTCGTGGTTGGTCTTTGCGGGATCGGAAAAATCCAGATTTCCGATGTCGCGATTTCTCCTGAATTTGTCCTTCAGGTGTCTGGGCTCCTTTCTCGGGGCCGTTGCTTCATCCCGAGCAGTTCTTGACGGTCCCGAGGCCCAGCGAGGGACCCCGTGGGGAGAACCGCCAGCGTCAAAACAAGTCCGTCGCGTTTTTTTCAGCGCGAGGGGATCTGGGATCGGGCGACAGGGTCGGCGGCGAGCAAGGGAGGAAATGAGAAGGGGCGGACCTTCTCAGAAGGCCTGGAAGTCCCCCGGCCTTCTGAGAAGTTTTCGAAGCCTTTCCCAAAGACAAAAACCTCTCAGAAGGCGCGAGGGCTTAGGAGAAGTCCCGCCGCCTTCTGAGAAGGTCTTCTCCTCACTTCCCCCCCTCGCTCGCCGCCGACAGGGGCTGTGCACACTCACCGATCTCAGCCCCGCCCATCCCTGGGCTCAGAACCGTGGCACGTGCCGCTGGGCAAAGGCGCACCGATCCTGGGCCCGGGGCGGGCCTGGCCGGGATCGGTGCACGTGTATTGCCAGACGCCCGGCTGCTCCAGCTCGTTCGATGCGTGTGCCCTGGAGGTCTGGACCACTTGCCATGGGGCCGGTGCTTCGTTCCTACTCGTTCTGTTGACGATCCCAAGGAGGCCTGGCGAGGGCCCCTGGAGGCCGAAAAGCTGAGCAGCTGAGGGAAAGAGCCCGCCGCTCCACTCTTGTTGGAGCGACGGATCTCAGTGTGGTTCTACAGTCGGGGCGCATTGCCAGGTCCACACTGCAAAGACAAGGGTGCTCCTGTGTCCCGTCCATCCCTTCTCATGTCCTCTGCTTGTTTGGACTGAGGGTGCCCTCGTGCCCTGTCATTCTCGCAGACGTTGGGGCCATATCGGCGGCGTGCTGGGCGCGTCGCGCCATGGGGAGGTCGCGCCTCTGGGCAGGTGATGTTACCGTCGGAAGAGTCTCGTGTCCCGCCGCGTGTCCTCGCGTATGCGCCTCGACTGCATTTCTTCTGTTCGGGTGTTGCTAAAAGTACCCCTTGCCCAGGGTACCCCCAAAATTCTCGGAGTGGCCCAGACGGCCTCCAGGGCACCCCTCACGAGGCATCCAGGGCAACACCCGATCTGTGGGAGTCCAGCTGCCCCCCGGCCGGAAGGGCCCGCCGCAGGCCCAGCAGCAGGCCGGCGGCCAGGACATGGCGGCCCCCTCGCAGCAGGACGCGCCCTGTCGGCCCGGCGCCGGGCAGCCTGGCGCGTCCTCAAGGTGCGGCGGCCCAGTCGGGCCAGGAGGAGGAGGAGGAGGAGAAGAAGGAGGAGAAAGGGGAGGAGGAGGAGGAGGAGGAGGAGGGGCAAACTGTCCGGCGATACTCAAGCAGTGGCGGAGCGTCATGGCTCGCCTAGAGGCCCGCCATGACATGTTCTGAGAACATTGTGTGGTTTGCACGACATGTTCTTGGAACATGTCTGGCCGAGACTGTCTTGTTGTAATACATCGGGCTTGCGTTATAAGAATATTGGTTTCGTTCTTAGAGTGTGGTTCTAAGAACCTTTTCGTGGTAGGCCGGTTGGAGTGCCGGGACGGTCGGTCCCTTTTCAGGAAAGATCGAGTAGGGGATCGACTGCAGAGTTGACTGTGAAGGCCTTGCGGCCTTTGCCGCTGACCCTGAAGGTGGGACCTCCTGGGGAACCCCCGCCGCTGGCGGTCCCCCCTCCAGGACCCGCCTGGACCCGGGTGGGGCGGCATTTTGACTCGGGACCACCCTCGCCCACAACAGGCAGGATCTCCCTCGGGATCCCCCTCCAGGCCCCCCCCTCCCACGGGGACACTTCTCCATGTCTCCTTGGGGCTGGCGGCGACGACGAAGGCGACGACAGCGTTTCGCACATGCCGAAGGGTCGGCGGTTTTCTCCAACATTGCTGTTGCCCCGAATCTACGAAAAAAACGTGGAAGGTTCCGTGGCATGTTCCTACGGCGCATTCGACAAACGCTTCGTAGATTCGACGGGAGATCAATTGTGGGGCAAATCCATTCTGTAGTCGATCCCCTACTCGAAAAACGAGCGTTATTGCAGGGGACTGGGCTGGTAGGGTCGCGTTTCGCGCCGGCGCCGTTTTTTTTTTGGGGGGGGGGAATGGGGGGGGAATAGCAAAAGACAGCCTTGAGACCAGCACGAATCGTGGCGGTTCTTGGAGGGTGGGCAGGGGGGCGGCCGGGGCCGGTAACGGCCGCTCTCGCGAAGAATAAGAAAACGTTCTCCAGGGGGGCGGATGGGGGAGGGGGGGCGAGGGGAGGACTGGTCGAGGAGAGGCTGCGGCACCCGGGGGAAGCCAGACCGCCGCCGCGCCGCTTGTGCAGATGGTGCTGTGCAATGCCGTTGGGCGTCGTTGGGCCGCTCACCCACGCTCCCGCCCCCAGCAGCGCGCATCCTCTGTACCGGCTTCCCACAGGGGAAAAGTCGAAACCGCATGTTCTGAATCACTTGTACCTTTGCGTATGTTCGGCCTTGTCGGCCAGACTCGTAGCACTGTCAATTTCGGCTTCATCTTGTGCCGCTTTCGCTGGCTCGTCGGACGCGCCGCAGTGGTAGACCGGAGCATCATTCGACGGGATTGGCACAGCTGAGGGACGCGGCAACAAGTTGACCAACTCAAGGTAGTCTTTTTTTCCCAATGCTCTGCTCACGCCCCATCCCACTGCAAGCCAAGCCGTTGGCTCGCAGCCGTCTCAGATAGATCCGTCTCGGGATCCTTAGCCCAGCCTCGCGCTCGAAACACGAGAGGCTGTATCTCCGCCGCGAGAATGTATACACAGACACCCTGCAATGGATTGTTCCTCGGTCTCAGGGGTTGGTGGCGGTGTATAAATCACAACTGGGATCTAGCGACTTTCCGCACCGACGCCCCCCCCTGAAGGTACATGCAGAATTCGTCGAGGGTGCCTGTGTACATCCATTTTCGTGGCGTCGTATCCTTTCCCCCTCGCCCTCGTGCCACGCGTGGCTGCATCCTGCCCGCGCCGACCCGCACCGCTCGCAGTCCACAGACTCCTGCAGCCCCCGCGGGCACGGCGGGCCGCGAAGGGGCGAGCCTGGACTCCGCGCGGCACGGGCGGACGGCACGGGCGGCTCTCGTTGCCGCCTGGCTTCTCCAGCGCCAGGGGTGCCCCTGCGCAGGGCGCGGTGCCGGGTCTGCTCTCCTGGCCCGTGGCCTCGGCCAGGTTCTAGGCCTCCCAGATGGGGTCCGAGTAGATGGGGTCGGAGGATCGCGCCGCATCGTCGCTGCATCGGCGATGCTGCTCGATGTGGAGCCCGAATTTCTCCACGCTGGCGTCGCCGATGCATCGCCGATGTCGCCGATGCATCGCCGATGTGCATCGGCGTGGGCGGAGCGACGAGCATCCCAATGACTTGGCCCTGTTGGTCCCGGAGTCGGCGAGGGCTCACGAGCTCCCCAGTCGACCTCTCAGCGTCGACGCCAGGACTGCCAGCGGGCCCGTGCACAGAGACCAACAGACCAACAGGCACCAGGCACTCGTCTATGCGAGCACGGACGGTGGAGCTGGTTGCCCAGGACTCGGCCTTCCAATTGCGACGCCGAAAATTTCTCCACCAGGTGAGTGGTGCCGTCGTATATCAGGTCCAATACTCCTTCTGCGTGGTCAGGTAGCACGTCAGCGATCCTCCTAGCGACGACTCCTGCTGGTGACCTCAGCTGCACCATCGCTACGTCGGACATGCCAGACACTCCAGCTCCGCGGCCTGGAATCGAGCAGACCCTTGACCTCACAGGACCGTCGCTTTGCGCCCCGCTCCGTGACGGAGAGCCCTCAAGCATTTTTCTCTGCTGCACCTGTGAGATCCTCTTCTTCACCACCGTGCGTCGCATCCTGGACCCCGGCAGCTCGTGGCTCAGGTTCCTGGCATGGGGCGCCTACTTCAGAGTGATCTGGCTGAACCGCTTCGCCAGCGCCTTCTGGGACGCCGCCGACGTCGCCACGAAAGGCGACTTTCTGGGCTGCAGGAAGAGGTCGAGGCCCGTGACGCGCTTGCACAAGTACACCGCACCGTGCCACAGACCACCCCACTTCTGGGGGACCTTGCTTGTGCACTGAAGTGACGTGTAGTCCCCAATGCATCTGCGCGTCTTGGAGCTGTAAATGCGCTTCGTGTCTGTCACCCCAGGAGCGTGGCCGTATGAGTGCAGTCCCGCCTTGATAACCTGATGAACCTTCGCGATGTCGCAGTGGCTCCCAGAGAGGTGTACTGCAGCGCCACTTGAGGAGGCGAAGGGGGCAGCTCACTGAAAGGGCTTCCCTGGAAACGGCATCATGCGTGGAGCAAAAACATGCATAAGCATGAGTTCTGTGAGGTCCGCTTGGATTTCTTGAATCGGCGTTGGGCCCCCCTGGCGACGTCTGTGGCGCGCCAGGGAGGGGGGTCCAGCGCCGATCCAGGAAATCTGCGCGGACCCCAAAGAAGTGATGTCCATGCTTGTGCAGTGTTTTTTTGTTCGTCTATGTACGGGCTTCCCTGCACAGGGCACTGTGCCGGACGGTCTCGTAAAACTCGGCCATGCCCAACAACGCAGCCTTTGCAGGCTGGACCATGGCCCTCGCCATCTCCGAAGTAATGCACTGGTCGACGGCGCTACCGAAGGACGTCCTGCCGCTGCCGCTGCCCCAGAGGGCATCGCCAGCGTGCTCCGACTCCCACTTCGACGAAGCACCTCGGCGAGCACGCCCCCGCCAGCGCAAGGTCGCATGGAGCAGGCTGATCAGCAGGAGGGCGCCATCGGCTTGTCGAGACGGACCCCCTCGGAAACAAATCGGCCATCATGCCAGCTCCGGAGCTCCTCGCATCTGGTAGAGGGGAGAAAAGGGGCAAGGGGGTGGCGGCGCGCGAGCGAGGGCGACGACCGCGAAACAGTCCAGCACCACCGACGGTGACACAGGCACCAGCGCTGTAGAGAGCACGGCGACGCAGTGCAGTACCACCGACGGCAAGCGACGGCATTCCTTTGGGATTGATCCGCATCGGGCCCAGTCGGCCACGGTTCTCAGACCTTTGGTGCTGGCCCACAGGGGTGCCCCCGCCTTTTTTACTTTGCGCGCTTGGATTCTGCCGCTCCGCGGCCCCCCAGAGCTCCGCACCGAATGTCACTCCTGCCCAGGGCGACCCCTGCGTGTAGCCGAGCCCAGGGCGGTCTTCTCCGCGGAGGTCGCCTGCAGCCTGCCGCGGCGCATGGCCCGCCGGCGGTGGCAGCAGATCCCGCGCGTCGCCATCGGACGGCCCGTGCATGGGCTCCGCGCCGTGCCCTTTCCCTGGCGTCCTCCCGAGTCTGCAGACAGGGCTGGACCTGAACACTGCTCTGCTGGACTTCGGCTGTGTGCTCGTTTTTGTGGGCTCACAACGCCATCGGGAGCGCGCGCGCCACTGTGCCACGTTGTGCGCAGGCACATATTTCGCGCCCGCGCCTCGCCCGCGCGCAGGCGACCGAGCTGCGCGCGCGGGCCGCCTCCCGCTTCCTTGCGCCTCGCGGCGTGCAGCCCCACGCGAAGGGCTCGCGAGCGCGAGGGCGGCGTCGGCATGCGTTGCGCCGCGCGCGGGCCCCGCGAGAAGGGCCCGCGCGCACGGTGTGCCGGCTTTGCTCGCTTCTCGCATTGCGTTTTGAGCTGCGCTGCGCGCAGCCCCACGAGAAGGGCCCGCGCGTTCACGGCGTGTTTACTTTGCTTTCTTTTGGCGTTGTGTTCACGCAGGCGCGCCGCGGGACCCGTCGGTGCGGATCTCGGCGCGCCTCGGGGTTGCGCCGTTTGCAGGCTTTGCCGCTTGCATGCCGCTTGCGACGGCGCTCGCGTCCTGCCGTCGCTTGCGGCGCGCGCGCGCTTCGCCCCGCCCTCCCGCTCCTGGGGGCGCTTGCATCCCTGGCGCCCCGCGCGTCGGCTCTGTCTGGCACCGCCAGGCGCGGGGGTGCCGCACCCCTTGTCAAGTGGGCGCAGGCACCTTCGGGTGCGGGAGGCTGCAGGCGCAGCTGAAATGTGTGCGTTTTGGGAGGGGTTGCAGGAAAACAAGTAGAGCGAAACGAATTACACAGCGAAACATCAACGAACAACCACGTCCAGGTACAGCCCTCTCTGCAGGCAGACGGCGCCGCGCCGCGCTCGAAGGGCTGGACGCCGCCGCCTGCGTCGGCTATTTTTGGCAGCTCGGCAGCCTGGGG